GGGGTGAGCGTTTTTGCGATGGAAACACCAAACCGGGTCAGAATCGGGTTGGGGTTGGGTGTTTCCACCGCAAAAACGCTAACCCCAACCCGATTCTGACCCGACTCTAGCCCGACTCTGACCCTCGGTGGAAACGTAGTCATAGCCACGAGACAAGAAAAATGCATAAGATACTTACTTTACGTTACAACAGGCCTGTTCCCGCTACGGCGCCCAACGACCAGCGGTTCTTCCAGCTTCCAGCCGTAGTACGTGCTCGCGGAGTGGCGCGGCACTGCAGTAGTTCGACTTCGGACTGCGCATGTGCACTTGATCGAAATGTGCAATAAATAAACTCGACGAATATTCTAACAATGTTCTTTTCTCTTATAAATATACAATTCTCGATTGTAACATTCTATGTATATTCATATAATATTCAATCCGAATATTCCAAAATTAAGAACGTTTGCACTCTCTAAGAATATTCATAGAATATATTGTGTTATCTGGGTAACCTTCAAAATCTTGCTGAATGTAAATATAAAGATTAATTATTAATTAATTATTATGTACTAATTTCTCTGCTGGGTTTAATCAAAGATTAAATTCTTATGATTTATAATTAACTTATAATTTTATTTATTATATTTCCAGATGGAAATATTAAAAGGAAAGCAAAATGGATCTCTATTGTATGTTTACAAGAATTATACTTATTGTAAGGACAATAGGTATAATTATATTTATCGGTGTTCAAAACGCAAAACTGAGAAATGTTCTGCAGTATTACTAAAAGAAGGAGAATCTTATAATTTAAAAAATAGACATAATCATTCTGAAGAAAGACACATTGTTGAAATTCGGACAATGAAAAAAGAAATGCTTCGGTTGTGTGAAGAAACAACAAAATCTTCTAAACATATTTTTGATACAATTTCTTGCAACAATTTGAGAGTTGCGCCATATATTTCATACAATAGTATGAAGTCCATTCTCAGTCGTCACAGAGCTAAATCACGTCCAAATATTCCTGCTGATTTACATTCTTTGCACATGCAATTAGAAACGTATATACCTACAAGTAATATTTATAAAGGTTATGCAATATCTTCTGATAACAAAATAGCGCTTATTTTTAGTAATGATGCGTTATTAAATGTCCTATCTGAAGCATGTGAAATTTTTGTGGACGGCACATTTGCGGTAATTCTCTTTTAATATATTTTACGTTTCTTAATTACGTTCTTTTTAAATTTATATTTAAAAATATCCAACATTTGTATTTCTAGATTGTGCCAAAGAAACCTAGCATTGCCCAGTTGTATACCATACATATTCGCTACATAGATACAGTACGTAATGCATATGTTAATTATTAAAGAATTATTTTATGTATAATAGGTAACAGACGTATATGTTAAATATACAGGGTGTCATAAAATACATATGCCACGTTACTATGCACTCTACATGAAAAAATAAGTCAATTTTGGTTTTTTTAATGTTTTGGTTTGACGCTTCATTAAAGAGTTAACTTGCTTGTTCCGCTCGAGCGCGATTTTTATCTGATTTAGTAGAAAATTCAACATCGTGAACCAAACAATTCAAGCATTGTGTTTAAGATCCTACAAAATCTTTTTAAACAATAAAATGCTTACTAATACTTTTAACGCAGTTGATTTCTGAACGTGTAATTTTTTCATGTTTACTTATTTTTTAATATCTTTTCCTATCAAACTTGTTATGTCAATTTTTTAATGTTTCCATACTTATCCTTTATTTATTACATCATATTCAAATCATAAAAGCAAATCATTTAGGAAATGTTTCAAACTACGGTTATTCATATTTATCAACATATTTTATTTGTTGCTAATTAATATTAATTGCTTTATTATTATTTATTTCTTATTCAAATTATTTTAATTTATCATTTTGAAATCTTATTTCAATTAAGATGTATGTCGAGATATTCGATATTTAACTGTTGTCAATAACGAAGTATAGTATCGCTCTTTACTAAATCAGATAGGAAATCGTGCTCAATCCGAATGAGTAAGTTAACTCTTTAAGGAAACGTTGGAGCAATAAACTGCTAAAAACAAAGTCGTCTTTCTTTCTCGAATAGCGTACGTAGTAGCAATGTAGCACCTATTTTGTGATACCTTATATAATATCTATATCGTATAGTTCACCTCATTGAACACCATTGATCAATAAAAGAGTAGATAATAGATAATTATTTAATTCTCCTTTTATTACTGTTTTTCGCTTAACATTCAACAAACTTTTTTAATATATGTTTTATAATATATGTGTTTACAATATACAGAGTGAGGCAAATACTATTGCTACATCGAATATTTTAGAAAATATACATCATGTAAGAAATGTTTTAAACAAAAGTTTAAGGTTTTGAGCGAGATCGGGTCAGTTGTTACAACGTCTTGATAAGGTAACTAATAGTTAAATCATATATACATATATATATATACAGAGTGTAATCTAATTCGCGCCCACTATTTATATAGTGCAATTCCATGAAAAACTGAATTAAAAAGTCCCGAGCCATTTTTTCAAATTATACTTAATAAAATAGTTATTATTAATTAAGATTAGTCAGTCAGCATCGCTTTTTAAACGCACGAACATTACTGAGGTGCGCGACTTATTTTACTCACACTAGTAGATTCACGCACGTGCGTCCGTTTAAAAAGCGATTCTGATTGGCTAATCTTTAATTAATAATAACTACTTTATGAAGCATAATTCGAAAAAATGGCTCGGAACTTTTCGAATATCACTGTATAAATAGTAGGCGCGAATTAGGTTACACCCTGTATACATATATACAGGGTGAGGCAATAACTATTACCACCTAAATATCTTTGAATCTATAAGGTTCAGAGGAACATTTGTGTAACCAAAGTTGCATGGTATGAAGGGGGCTGTAATATGGCGATAATAATTTTTGTCGAGGTGGAGACGCTTCGGAGATATGAAGGTCATCTCCACTTTTTTAAATAAAGTCCCTTACTTTTTATTGTATAATCTTTTTCTATTAATTAATTGGAACAACTTTTATTTGAAGCCTTTTTGTTTGCCTAATATTTTTGTAGATAATTCTAAAAATCAATATTTAGCTTACGATATCTCAATAACTGTTTGTCGGAAAAGTGGTACAAGACTTTTGACTTGATGTGGTCTCAAGAATATGCTGTTACAATAGTACAACTTTTGTAAACCAATTTTTGTAAACGCTTGTGTATACAATGAAAACTCTAAACAGATTTTAAGATCATCAAATTAATGTGATTCTGTATTGTAGTAGCAAATTCATGAATTCAAATTAAGTCAAAAAGTCGTGTACTCTTTTTCCGTCCGACAAACAGTTATCGAGATGTAGTAAGCTAAATGTTGAAAACGTTACCAAGTTTTCCTTGAATATCTAAAAAAATATTAGACAAACAAAAAATGCTTCAAATAAAAGTTGTTCCAATTAATTAATAGAAAAAGATTATACCATAAAAAGTAGAAAGTTCCATTTCAAAAGGTGGAAGTGATCTTCATATTTCTGAAGCACCTCCACCTGGACAAAACTTTTTATCGCCATATGATAGTCCCCTTCGTACCATGCAACTTTGGTTACACAAATATTCCTCTGAATCTTATAGATTCGAAGATATTTAAGGTGGTAATAGTTATTGCCTCATCCTGTATATGATATATATCTTTGTTTTTCCTTCAAATTAGACAAAGATAAACATATAATTTTACTATTAGTTAGCTTACCAAGAAGTTGGAATAACCGGCCCATAAGATTGTTTTTCATTCTTAAAAAACCGTGTTAACATCGAAACTTGAATATATCAAATCTATTGAAGTTTATTATTGCTTCTTTTCCGCAATGCTAATCGGTTCTCTCGCTTACCTCATTTTGTCCTGTGAGATAGCTATCAGCGGCGAAGCGATTGAATTTTGAGTTATCAAAGAGATTGTGTATCAAATAGGGTGTTTTTAAGAGAACTTAGCAAAAGTTGTTGCCGATAAAAATATACATATAATGCTCAAGAATAAATTTCGCGAGCTTTGTATTCTCTAGTGTCAAAATTAACTTGAATTTAAAAAATGGGAATTTCTATTTTTTATTGCATAGAATTATTCTATTCGTTATTCTGCGTATAAAAGTGTCAGTAATTCGCATTTTATATTCATAAAACTTGATGACATAAAATTTGAAATATCTCGTAAACTACTCACTTTTCGAAGATTTTATTTCAATACTTTTATACATAGAATGACGAGAATAATCAATTAATGCAAAAAACAGAAATATTTATATTTATTTTGTTTGGCTCTGATATTTTTATATGCAAAATGACGAATAGAATCATTTTGTGCAATAAAAGATAAGAGTTTCGGTTAAAAAATTTCAAGTTGACTTTGGCACGTTCTGTATAAAACTACGTGGTTTATAAAATTACGATGGTTTAAACAAATTAAACCGTCTTATATCACTCTTGATTCCTTACAATATTTATGTAAAACATTTTTTGCTATGATATATATTTTTTAAGGTAATAATAGTTTTTGCCGCACCCTATATACGAGTATGTTACATTTTATTCAAACCATAATTCATGCACCTACAATTTATAGGGAATAGCAACAGTTTTTGTACTATGTGAGGCACGTTCTGCCTCTCTCTATAAAGCAATGTGGGAGAAAATTGTTTTACTTGCACCTGGTCTGAATAAAAATCTAAAATTTATCATGGCAGATTATGAGAAAGCAGCGATATCAGCAATGAGTGAGCGATTCCCAACAGTTGCTATCCATGGTTGCTGGTTTCATTATTCACAGGTACTTTGAATAACAATAATTAATTACATTTAAATAATTTTTTATAATAAACTTTCAAGTAAGACCCCTATCTTAAACTAAACAATATATAAGAACACGCCAATGTGGGTCACAAGGCAAGATGTAGGTAGCCCAACTTGCAAATCTTGAATTGTCCTGAAAATCGTGAATCTATATACCGTTTCTTTCCATATTAGTTCTACGCGCCGATTTCTTTTTCGAACATAACGCAGCTTATCTTACACGTGGAATTATTATCGTCAGCAGATTCACGTATTCGATTCGATAATTATTTTTCAAATGCAATTCGCATTTTTCTGATGCTACATTTAGCATTCAATACCCTCCCTCCCCCCATTTTCCCCGCCCTGTAAATTAATTTTATTGCGAAAAATATTACCCCAGCCAGGATTCGAACCTGGGACCTCCCTCAATCCGTGACGGGTGTCTTAGCCAGCTCGATCACTGGGGCTGTGATAATATTATTCGCAATAACTGGTAAATACTTTAGAAGGAACGCTAGTTTTGCAGGCGAGCGTTTTAAAGAATAATAAATTTTCAAGTAAGACCCCTATCTAAAACTAGACAATCGCAATAAAATTAATTTACAGGACGGGGAAAATGGGGGGAGGGAGGGTATTGAATGCTAAATGTAGCATCAGAAAAATGCGAATTGCATTTGAGAAATAATTATCGAATCGAATACGTGAATCTGCTGACGATAATAATTCCACGTAAGATAAGCTGCGTTATGTCTGAAAAAGAATTCGGCGCGTAGAACTAATGTGGAAAGAAACGGTATACTATATATGTGTAGATTCACAATTTTCAGAAAGATTCAAGATTTGCAAGTTGGGCTACCTACATCTTGCCTTGTGAGCCACATTGGCGTGTTCTTATATATTGATAACTTTTTATATTTTCGAAATTTTATGATTTAAATTTGTTATCATATATTGTTATTATGATTATGTTTATTAATCTACAGCTGTTGTTTATAAATCTTTAGTTATTTTATTGGAATTACGCTTTATTTTAGAAAATTTTAACCAGATTAGTTCCATAATAAATCTAACCTATAAATTATAAATTCCATAACATAAATCTGACAACGTAATCTGATTGCATCTGCACTTACAGTGTGCAGATGTTCATGCTATGGAATTTTTTAGATCTCGATGTTCCCACATTTAACGAAAACGTCCGATGCTAAAAAATTTTAAAATAATTTTACAAAAACTGATATATTCCGATAGGGAAAAGTTTTTAGTATACATATAGTCTGTCAAGTAAGAGCGTGGTCGGGTTAATTTATAAAAAAATTTATTAAATACTATAATTTTTAAATACATGCATGCATTGTACTCGATGAGAACAAGGATGCAATTATGTTAATAATGCGTCCAGTCACCACCGGCGTCGATAATTGCCTGGCATCTTCGAGGCATGCTTTCGACCAAATTGACGCGTATTCTAGCAGCAAGGACCTCCAAATCCGACAAATCTCGCTATAACTGCTTCAAAGTGTACGTATGTTTTCCACGAAGCTTCTGCTTAATGTATGCCCACACATTTTCAATGGGATAAAATCTCGATTGATGTTCTCGTGCGCCCAAGCGAGTCGCTTTGTCACATGTTTTTCGGTCCACTTTCGGTCAACAGAGGTTTCTTCATTGTGTTGCGCCATTACATGTCATGAGCAAGGAGATGAGTTCGGATAGTTTCGTACAATATATCCAAACCTTTTGACTTTAATTTTGCTTGTCCTTGACGCAGTATTAAAGCAGGATTCCGCAAAAACAGATTCATTATTCTTTTTTCGCCTTTTTTGTTCAATTTGCCTATCGAGCCACGTCCCAGGAAATCATCGACACTTTTACCACTTTATATCGCTGTATCCACTTCTCTACGAATGCTTTCGACTTTCACAAGTATTTAGCAGCCGCTGATTGCGACATTTTCGGACCTTTCGAGTGGGTACAAAGGAACACAGCCTCGTAGCGCGACGCGTATTTGACACTCATGACGCTTAACGTGTTTCTCTGTCAACAAATCAATGACAATTGAATCTTTCTTCACAGTGCATCAAAGACAAAGTATTCCTCTATCGGCTCACAAAAAATTAAGGTGATACCTTTTACGAGCTCTGAGTAAGGCCGACCACGCTTTAACTTGACAGACTGTATATCTGAAAATATCAATTTCTTATTTTCTACTTTTTAGCTATAAACTACAACTAAAAAACAAAATACTATTATATGTAACACATTTCCTCTACTATTTAGGAAATAATTCTGTAGAAAGACAGAAAGAGAAAGGAGAGGGAGAAATTTTTTAATACATTTTGTAATAAAATGTTTTATTGCATTTACAACAGCATTTTATAATTTCTTTTTATAATTTCTTAATAATAAGCTATTTTTTATATATTGCAGGCTCTTGTTAGAAAATGGCGACACTTAGGTTTGGATGATGCACCTAATGAATTATTGTCTATGGCAAAAACAATGGCTTTGGCGCCGAGTGATTTGTTTGAAGAGTCATTAAACATTATGCAAACATTTTCTAGTAATTTAATAGATGAATACCCAGCAATTGTTGATTTCATGCAATATGTTACAAATACATGGTTACCAATTGCCTCTAAAGTATCAGTATACGGATGTCCAAACCGTACAAACAATTTGGTCGAAAGTTTTTATGGTAGTATTACCAAAAAGCTAGGACCCACTTCTCCAAATCTGTGGAAATTTTTAGGTATATTATAAGTTGTTTGTCATAGGTCATAGGTTTTATAATTTTCAGAATTCAAATATTATACATACAGGGTGCTACGCAAGACTTTGACTTCCGGTCATGGGAAGGTAGAGGGGACTAAGACAAACAGAAAAGTATTGTACTATTTTGCGCTTGGACGAATAGTTATCGAGATACGAAATTTTAAAAATCGCCGTATTAGCCCAACCTACTGGCGAATGTAAGCGTGCGGCGAGATGCGTCGGCCTAGCGGCCCCGCTCGAGGCGGTGTGCGGCGAGGAATAG